TAAAATCTTTAAAAAAAATAGATGCTCATAATGTCAGATTCTCTCTTCCTCCCTCCCTCTGTCTCTCTCTCTGTAATGTTAGCAGCAGCTCTTGATGCTTCATGCCTAGGTTTCTTAATTAATGAGGAGTTGCAAAGTGGCAATAGCTCAATTTCTATCATTCCTTGATTTGTTAGAATATTTTGTAAAGAGAAATTGTGCCATCTTTATCATTGCACGTGAGATATTATATTAAAATGTCTTTCCTTAGGAGATTGAGTTTTCTAAGGGCACAGACACACAGCTTGGCACAAAGTAGCATTTAAGTGTTTTTTGGACAGAAATGAATCAAATTACACAGGTTCTCTGTTGGTAAGTAGAGTCATATTAAAGGGTGTCTGTTGGTATGTTTCTCCAGCCCCCTGTAAAAGACTTCTCTGACTCTGTAAGAGCCATGCCTGGGACTTGGCCCAGGTCTGTATTTTGCCTTTCAAGTATTGGCTAAGGACCCAAATACTTAATTGAAGAGATCGGGTTTGCGAGCCCCTAAGAAAGAGTTTTGAAGTTGTTAGTGAAGGCAATGGATGGATTATAATTGATTTGCAAAAAAAATGGATGTATATGCTGAAGTTAGGGATGAATTGTACTGATGTCTATAACTTACATGAAATATATCAGAAAATAAGATGATTGATGGGTCAGTGGAGGGATGCCAGGTGACTGGGTGTGTGATGAAGCAAATGGAGCAAAATATGAATTGTAGCATCCAGGTGGTGGGCTTATGGATTCACTGTGTAGTTCTTTCAGCTTAAAGTTTGAAACTTTTCATAATAAAGTGTTGGGAAAATGATTCTTGTATCACTTAATAACATATATTATCTAGGCATATCTATAATAAATACAGATCATCAACATGAATTTCCTAAGTCTTATTAGGTTTTTTTTTCCCTGGTATTGTTCTTCCTCTTTTTATCTAGTCAAGTATCAGTTCTTATGTTGCTCCCTTAAGATTTCCCTGACCTTCCAATCTGATTTAGATGTTTCTCCTGTGTTCCCAGAGCACCTCTTGCATACTTCTGCCATAGGATTTATTATCCTGTACTATATTCATTACTAATCTGCCTGAACCACTAGACTTTGAGTTTCTTGAGTGCAAACACTGTTTCTGGAATGCTTTTGGTACAAGTAAAAATAAAAACAACAACAATAAATAGACTAACAGTTTAAATAAATAGGAATTTATTATCTCCAATGGTAGGAGTCTGGAGGAAGCAATTCCGATTTCCAGGGCTGGCCCGGCGGCGGGCACGTGGTGGGCACTTCTGCCTTTCTCCTGCCTTACCCCTCGTCAGGCCAGGTTCACTGAAGCAGTTATGTGGATCGGAAATAGCCACCATGGCTATCTCAGTTTTTGAGGTTTCAGCACATTTTGGCAAATGTTTGTGAATTTGTTGAATAGCCTTCAGTTTGTTTATGGTTTCTATTAAAAAAATTAATTTTGTGTTTTTGAAAATAACAGCTCAGAATTACATGTGTTTTATAAAAGCCTCCCCCACCCTAGAAAATTATCTCTCCATTTTCTAATACAGCTATAATAATTCATAAGACAAGGCTGCTTCAGAGAAATTGTGTGACAGCTGGATGGTCTGGAGGTTCCAGCCTCAGTCCCCAACCTCAGTCCCAGCCTCAGCTCTGTGGGAAACAGTTGTGGACCAGAAATTAGGCCAGAAGCAGTTTCACTTCCTAAACTAAAGCCTATTCGGAAGGCCTACTACCCTTTATCCCACTTAACTCTGTTTTATGCACAACTCAAATGTGCTTAATTATCTAGTTAATTGCTTAGAACACTTATTAAAAATCACATAATCAGAAAAGAGAGAGTGGCAAGAAGGCCCAGTGTAGGCAAATAAACAGGTGGTGCACTGACGGGGGAAGGACAAGCAGACGTGGTCTCCACTCATACCAGCAGTGATGGTCCTTAGGAAAATCACCTATGATCCTGCCACCTGCAGATATGTACTATTAACAGGGTATTTCTTGCTAGTGTTTTAATCTATGTATTCCTATATTTAAAACCAATTTTAGATCATATTTATGTGGTTTTGTATATTTTTTCACGTATTTTATTTCTTATTAAACAGAGCAGGCTGAATGTAAGTAAACCTTTTCTTGAAGATTTAACCTTAAAGACCGTTTTGTGTATTTTGTACAGTTTCTACTGAAGATTGACAGGTTTTAGAGTATACCACCCTAAAACCTGCCACTTTGGCATAAGGATTATTTTGATCTGAAGGCAATTGAAAAAGTAATAGACACAGAGAAACTGTCTTCCTCCCTCTACAGGAAGGGAAGGGAAGGGAAAAGAAAAATCTTACCGTGACACAACTCTAGACTCTAACAAGCCCAGAGAAGGCACCAGGGGAATCTATATAACAAACCTTACTCACCTTTACCTTCTATTAGTTTCCCCCATATATTTACCTTCCCAAATTTGCCACCCCTACAAGGGCAAAGCCTTTTTCCTGTGTTTCGTCACTTCTCCAAAAAAAAAAATGTATTGTTCTTTTGTTAAGATACTTTTAAGTCCAGGTTCTTACCACCCACTTTGATTGCTCATCACTGCTTTCTTGTGCACGCACCCCTAAGATGCACACATTAATAAACTTCTGTTTGTATTTTTTTCTTTTTACTTAGCTCTCTGTTTTCTCATTAATCTGTCTTTTGTCAGTCTAATTTTGGAGCCTCTGCTAGTGACCTAAGAAGGGTTTGTTTTTCCTCCCCTACCATTTTTAGTACTTCTCACTTTAAATACTTAAAAAATATTTTAGACATTCAGAGTGCTTTTTGTTCAGCTCCTGGTCTTTTGAAAATGAAATTTTTCTCACATTTTGATTTTGTTAAAAATGATCAGCTAATACTTCTTTTAAGAGCTGTCTGAGGAGTCCTTCTTGTTACGTATGCTGACTTTTGCGTTGGGTGATTTTCTTAGGTGTCGTAGGTTTGGCGTGCTCCTGTTTGTGGACTTTAGCTATGAATTTCCTGAGCTGTCCTCACTGCATGTTGTCCCCACAGAGAGGTTGTATTTAGTGACCCTTTGGCATTCTGCCTCGGGCTCCAGCACTGTGACCTCCGTGGGGTTGGTTTTTGTGTTAATTTCTGGGCTTTGGACGAGTGCTGTGGTTACAGATATTCAGAATATACTTCCCTGCAGTCAGGGCTCAATTCAAGCTTCCTTGTCATCTTTCTCTATTGGTGAAAGATGTTTTTCTTGTCCATTCTTTACCTGAAGGTGTGCTCCTTCCTTCAAGGATCTTATCTTTCCACATTTCAGTTCAGAAAAGCTCTCTCTAGCCCTGACTGGTGTGGCTCAGTGGATTGAGCACCAGCCTGTGAACCAAAGGGTCTTCAGTTCGATTCCCAGTCAGGGCACATGCCTGGGTTGCAGGCCAGGTCCCAGTAGGGGACATGTGAGAGACAACCACACATTGATGTTTCTCTCTCTTTCTCCCTCCCTTCCCTTCTCTCAAAAATTAATCTTAACAAAAAAGAAAAGCTCTCTTTTCTAAGTCCTACCTGGCACAGGGCTGGTCTGTTAGCCCTGTGGGTTTATTAAATCCTAAATTACCAAGAATAGCAGCTGTCCAGGGCTACAGAAATGCCAGCTCTCACTGTGGTTTTTTTCCCCTGCCTAGCATGGGGCTTTCTTACTTCCTTTTAAGCTCGGCTGTGCATTTAAGACATTCCCTACCTTGCAGGTCTACTATAATACAGTATAATCACCTGGGAAGCTTTCAGATGTTCGCTGCCCAGGCTGCATCTCAGACCAACTCCATCATAGTCTCTGGCATCAGGGTTTTGAGAGACTCCCAAGTGACTTCATTGTGCACCCACAGATGGGAACCACTGTTTTATAAATGATGTTGTTTTATGTTACCCAGTGATTTGTGCTCATGTGTGTTATGTGTATTTATTTTTCTAGTGGGGTATTTTAAGTTACTTTGTCAGAAGAAAACCAGCCTTTATTAAGTTTTTACTGTGTACTGGGCTTTGTGCTTAGGCCTTTCACATGTTATCTCATTTTAATACTCAGAAAAATACTACAAGGTAGGTGGTGGTTTACTAGTTTTTGCAGTTAAGAAAACCAGCTTGGAGAAATTAAATGACTAGTTCTAGGTCAGCTTACAAATGGCAGAGCCAGACTGGGGCCCATGTCCTTTTTCCTTCCTCTGTGGTACACATGTGAAATAGAGAAACTTTTCTGTACAAATTATTAAAATAAAAATCAGCACTTGGGTTAGAATAAGTCCCAGCTACTATATGTTAAATTTTCTTATTCAGAATACCTTATCTTCCCACAATTCAAGGGGTACTCTACTCATTTCATCTCACTCTGATGAGGTTAAACTGATTTTGACTAATGAGATTGTTACTTTTAGAAACATTTAACTCATTTTAGTTCATCACTTTAAATACACTTGAAGTAAATAATGTAGTTCTTCTTTTAAGTCTATCGTGTGTCATGAAGGGGTACCTATTACTGAATAATACATGTACTTACCCTTTTCAGGTGACCTCTGAGTCTCCAGCCTCTGCGGATCGTATGGGAGAGTGTGAAGGGAGGGAGAGGTGCAGGGGAGGGGTGGAGTGAGGACACCGAGAGAGTGAGACCCCGGAGTCCCGGGGTTCTCTGTAGTGCCAGATGACTGGGGGGTGGGGCCCGGAGTCCCAGCACTCCCCTCGGTGAAGCAGTGCTGAGGATGCATTGACCTTTGGTGGCAGGATGTCTCCCCACCCTCCCCTGTGACACAGGCCCATCCCCATTTCTTCTCTCTTAACTTGCTGTGGCTCTGGCTCTGCTGTGGTAAGTGACTTCAAGAGTGGCCAGTGGGCTTTATCTCCGCCTAGAGCCGAGAAAAGAGTTACTCTCTGTTGGAATGTCTGGATTAGGCTTTTCTGGAGCGTATGGGTTCAGCTGAGTGGACGCCAAACCGCCTCTAAGTTTCTGTGTTTCTCATTGGCAGTTCTTCAACTGGGTCTTCTGTCCGTGTGTCGCAACCTCAGAAAACCAGCAGGATGGCTACTAACAAGAGTAAGAGCCAGAGCTCCTTGGCCCTGCACAAGGTGATCATGGTGGGCAGTGGAGGGGTTGGCAAGTCGGCCTTGACGCTTCAGTTCATGTACGACGAGGTAAGACACGCTGGGCACGGGCTGCCATTGTCCTCCTGTCTGTTGTGGCATTGTCCCCTCTCCAGCAGTGTTCATGTGCCTGTTCCCTCAGGTGCACAGAGGATCATGGGGCAAACTTGTGTGAAGGTGCTTTCTGAATAGCTTTATGAGGAGTCTAACCAGTGTAAGGTCTGGATTGCTGATTTTTTGTTAACTTCAACTCTGGCAGGGGTGCTTGCATTATTTCCATTGTTATATTTTGAGCTTTCTTTCTGACAGGAGCAAGAGAGGAGAGGGGAACCTTCGTATAGGTATTTCTAAAGAACGAGCTGATACTTAGCTTTGTAACAGTCAATTTTAGGAGCTATCAAGAGGGAGAGCTAAGTTGTCACAAGACTTAATTTTTTCTCAAGTGATAGACATCGAGTTCTCCTTGCAGCAAGGGAAAGCTTGCACCACCCTTGCCCCAAACTTCCATCAATTGATATGGGTAAGGTAACTGGTACTGAGTCCAGTGTGACAACACAGGCTTGATTCCTGTGGCAACGAATGCCCCTGCTTGGTGACCGTTGCTGGTACTAGAGTGTTCAGACTGAGCTTAACCGTCCAGACCTCTTTCACTTGCATCACATTTCACATGGCATGTGCTTTACAAAATTTGTGAAAGGAAGCCGTCAGAACCACAGTTGGTTAAAGATCATTATCTCTTTTCACTAGACTTTCCATCTGCTGGCTCCGCTTACGTTGGGTGGTGCTGGAGTGGCCATGGGCATTTTTGGGATTTAGCTGACGGAGGCCAAATTAAGGATATGTTTAGTTGGGGATTAGTGGTATATATTGATGTGGTTCGGAGTCACTTTGGTTGCTGTTACCAGCTGTCCCAGTGGAGGAATGGCTCCCAGGAAAATTCTTACCGCCTGCTGTGCTGACTCACCAGGCACTGTGACATGAGGCGGCCCCAGGGCTGTGTGTGGCGGCATTGATGTGTCCTATGACACCTGGCACTAAATGAGTGGGCTGTGGAGGAGAAATAGGGATTGAAACATAAGGAGCTCGAAACTGGGCTGGAAAGTTCTTCCCTATCTTACAGGAAGGCTCAATAGAGGTATCCTAATTTTGATAGCAGTCCTAAATGTTTCGTTGCTGGTAATGTCAAGTAGTTGTGAAGGTAAAGAAACCTTTCTAAACTAGCAATAAAAAAGAAATTTGGATCAACTAGGCTACAGGAAAGACTAAATTACTTTTTTTAATTCTTCGTAGGAAATATTTCAAAATCATTGGCATAGGACAAGATAATCAAAGAATATACAGCAACCAAAAAAACAGTAGAAAGGTATTCTAGAGGTATGCCAGGTACTTAATTAATAAAAATATGTTATTTTGCTAGATTTTGTGATGTGTTATTTCTGTTAGTTTTCTATTGCAGTATAACAAATTGCCACGAATTCAGCAGCTTAAAATGACACATTTGTTACCTGCAGTTTCCAGGGGTCAGGAAACAGGCACAGCTTAGCTGGGTGCCCTGCGCAGGGACTCACAAGGCTGCGTGCAGCGCGGTGTCAGCTGTGCCTGCGAGCTTAGCCAGGGCTCGGGCCCTCGTCCAACCTCCCTGGGAGCTGGACAGTGTGGGCTGGAAGTCCACAGCTGAGAAAGGTCCCTGCTACCAGGCCCCCTCCATAGGTATTTGTACCCTGGCCGCTTGTTTCTTCAAGGCCAGGAGGAACGTCTGTCTGGTTAGCTAAGACAGATTCTTCCATACGGAAATGTAATCATGGGCTAATCTTGTTCGGGCACTTTGCCGTATTCTTTTGGTTAGAAGCCGGTCACAGTTGCCCCTGAATTCAAGGGGAGGGCATTATACAAAGGCATATTCACTGAAAGTCACCTGAGGGGAGTGTATTTGAGCATTTAAAAAATTTTATAATGGGTTTTGCCTTCTCTTTCTGGTTATTCCTATTCACTTTTCTATCTAATATTATAATTTTGTATTTTCTTAAAGAGGGCCCCCCAAATGAATAAACTTGAGACCAAAGCCATGATCTCTCCTGGGTCATAACTCTGCTTTTTCTTATAATGAGAACCTTGTTTTTTGATGCTTGCTTTTTTTCATCATATCATAGAGGCCAAAATGGGGAAATCTGGCAGAATCTGCTTAATTTATCCATACATTTCTGCATAAAAGAAGAGATGCAAATTTTGAAGTCCAAGTGTTTATTTTTGCTTATTAACCTCATTTGATTAGGAAAAATCCCTTACTTTTCTTTTATCACAGAGACTAGGGAAGAATAGAGGGTGAGGAGAGGAATTAAAATGAAGGAGATAGGATTAGATGTAGTTCGTTAATGAGTTAAGGGAACGAGATTTTGTGTCCCTAAAGAATGAATAATTGGGGATGTCACATATTTTTGGTTGTCACACCTGGAGGTCAGGTAGTACTAGCATCTGTTGGGGAGAGAGGCCAGGGATGCTCTTAACATCCTACAGCACACAGGAGAGAACTGCCCCGTCCACACTGTCCTTAGTGCTGCTGTGGACCGGAGGCTGAGCTCTGAGAATAGGATCCTTCTGCTCAGCGTGGCTGCACATTGTGAGAGGCTGGGAGTCTCGTTTGGATTTTTCATTGTGTGTTTGTATGCGTGTATGGCATGAGAGAGGGAAAAGAGGCACGCAAAACTGTTTTTCTTTAGCTTCAGAGAAATGGAGGACAACTGTGTTTGATCTTAGGCTATTTTTCTCATAGGCTAACGTGTTTGAGGACTGGAAGGCAGCAGTTATTAAGAAACAGTAAAATAAATCAAAGCAAGGGAAGAATAGAGATGAAGTGATATGTGTTTGGGGAAGTCTTTTAACTGATTTCTAAAACAGTGTTGCCTAGTAGAACCGTCTGCAGTGATGGAAAGTGTTCTGTAGCTGTACTGTCCCATACATGTGGGACACTACTGAGCACTTGCCACATGGCTGGCGGCTGCTGTATTGGACAGTATAGTTCCAGAAGCATAATTTTGGCACTCGAAGAGACCTTAGCAGTGATTCCCAAACCTAGCTGATCATAGAATTCCTGAGGGATTTTTAAAAAAATATCTTCTGAATACCATTTCTGGAGTTGAGAACTAGGAATCTTTCTTTCTAAAAAGCCTTCCAACAATTCTGATGTATGGCCAGATGTGATAACTCCTGCCTGAGGGATGATCTAGTCAAACCTAATTTCATAGAAAAGGAAACCCAGTTCTAGAGTTGGGAATGCCCGTGGTCTAAAGTCTTATGGGCCATTCAAACTCTTTGTTCCTGGTCCAACACTTTACCCTTAGTTTAAAAGAAATACTAGCTTATGTGGTAGAATTGCCATGAAAAGTGGATTGGAGTAGGAGCTGAAGTCCCAGAATTCTTTATTTTTGTCTAAGTTCTGACTTTGAGAAAAATTAGAGGGAGATTTTCATCTTTTTATTCTTGGTCTAACATACTTGAATACCTTTTAAGCTATTTGCCAGTTTTGGTGAGGTGAGGCTGGTGATGGGGAGACTTTGGCAGCAACCAGTGGCCAGCAGTCTGCTGAGACATGGCTTACTATGCAAGGGTGCGTATGAAGTTTGTCTTAGATTTGTGTATCTTGAGCAACTAGACCTGAATCACACACAGCCCTACAAGGCCAGAGGTATTTTTCATTTTAACAGATACCATGACTTTGGAGATTTCCTATTTCTAATGGAAAAATGTAAACATCAGGGTTTTAATCTAATGTTCTATTCATAAGCACAGTTTTTCCTATCTCAGAGGTATGCAGTCATACATACCTGGACATTCTGTGACTTCTAGTGTCAAGGGAGTCAATGGAGCTCTTGTTGGTGTTGACCTTGAACTCTCAGAAATATGCGGTTGAGATGCTTTATGGAATTATTCAGAGGTTTGCACTGTGGGGGCAGGGGGTTGGTCATGTATTTGTCTTGGAAGGGAGTTAAAAGAAGGATGCCGTTGTGCAGCATAAGCACATTTTCACATTTTCTCTATTTTAAGATAATTATTAGGATGAATATATGAGAACCTAATGTTAAAAATATTTTAGTGTTTTTATTTTTAGATTTAAAATCATCGGAACTAGTAGCTCCTAATTGGCAATACAAGACTCTTTTCAAGAGTTTTCTTCCAAGGGTCCATAAGTTCATGCTGATATTTTCAATTTAATTTTTAAATATTTAAAAATTTAAGTTAGAGTTTTATTAAGATATGATTCACACACCATGAAAGTCACCCTTTTAAAGTGTACAGTTCAATGAGTTTTAGTAGATTCACACAGGTGTACAAGTATCACCACTATGAGTTTTGAACATTTCATCACTCCTTCTGCCCAAAACACCCTACATATTAGCAGCCACCTCTCATTAGTGCTCCCTCTCCCCTCCTTGGTCCCTGACAACCACTTTTTGGTTTTATGGCTTTGCCTATCCTGGACATTTTATATGAATGTAATCCTACCATATGTGACCTCTGATTCAGTCTGACTTCTTTCACTTAGTGTTTTGAAAGTTCATCCATGTTGAAGTATTATTTCATTTAAAAAAATTGAGATAGAATTCATACACCATAAAATTTACCCCTTTAGAAATGTAAAATTCAGTGTTTTTTAGTATATCCATGAATTTGTACAACTGCCATCACTGTTTAATTCTAGAACATCACCCAGAAAGAACCTGCATACCCATTAGCAATCACTCTTCATTCACCTTGCCCATGGTTCTGGCACCTGCTACTCTACTTTCTGTTTCCATAGCTTTGTTTATTCTGGACATTTCATTTAAATACACTCATAACAGAAGACTGTTTGTGTCTTCTTCTGCTGCTTACCATGATTTGTCAAGGTTATCCATGTTGTAGCATGAATTAGTACTTTATTCCTTTTTATGACAGAGTATTCTTCCATTATCTGGATATGCCATGTTTTGTTTATCCATTTGTCAGTTGACAGACATTGTATTGTGTCTACTTTTTGGCTATTAGGATAATGTTGCTATGTACACTTGTGTACA